TATCGGCGTCTGAGCCGGTACCGTTGCAGCATTCAATTTGTTGAATGCGTGCACTATCCGCCACCCTCCTGTGGCCTTTCGCACACAGAGGGTCGGAGAGCTGTGAGGGGATGACGATTCCCTCACATGGCCCGCTGCTAAGCGATCGGCAAAAAACTTGTCTATCGCTAGTACTTGTTCACGAGGCAGTGGCCACTGCTTCATGACAGTACTTCGAGCCCGGTCTGAGCTCGATCTCGTGTCGAGTGCCTTTATCCTTAGGCAACTCGCAAGGTACGGATTCAGGGAATACATCCTTGAATTCGATCAAATCCTTATACAAAGGATTTGCCTAAAGCGACTTCAAGGATTGAGACGTGTATCGCTCAATACAAGTCTTCTCATCGATGACACTTTCGTCCATCGTTCCGATCGAATATCGGTAACGTATTCGTCCTCCGCGACGAGTATACAAATCTGCTTGACTTTGCCACTACGCAGATCACGCAAGAACCGTTTCGGTTCTAGCGTCGGCAGTTCAATTATCTCCGAAGTTAATTTTGGAGGCGCAACCAGATCAAGCATGTAACCGCCTACGCTTAATCCATCATCAACCAAGACATTCAGTGTCTTGATTACCTCCTGGGAAGTCACATCCACAGGGTCTAGAAGAGCTTTCTACATAATGTAGTGATCATCTACATTGTGTTCTTGTACAGTCGTGCTAACGACCGTACCACAAGTGAGGCCATCGCACTCACTCGTAGTACACCCACGTGAGTGTGGGCGTTCCAAGATATTCGTCAGGTGGTTATTTGAGGAAGAAGTAGCAGGTATCGTGACCGATCGATACTGCCAACTCACCCTTGGCTCGTATTTACTGAGCCAAGGCAACCCTAAGATGACGTCGAACTTGTCATATAGTTCAAGCACGATGAAATTATCATCGTACTATTCGCCTTGTAACGTGTAGTGAATTCCGACTACACGTTTCTTCACAGTGATCGATGCGCCTGTCGCTAGGCGCACCTTCATCTTCGTTGGAAGGATCTCCCGCTCCACGAAGTTAAAACTTCCTGCCTGTAGCGACTGGCGACGAACAAAATTGTTCGACGCCCCACAGTCAACTAGGGCGCGAAGTGACAAGTCTTTTGTCACCTCTAACTTCAAGGTGATGAGAGACACCTCATTAGAAGATGCAGAGACACACAGAAATTGTGTGTCGGGAGCATCCTTCTTCAGGAGATTTGCAAGCTCTCTTGATGTTGCTGGATCAGTAGAGCGCTCCGCCCCTACTGATGCCGACCGTTATTTGATGGTTGGTATCGTTGTTGCGACTTCGCAACAGCAACGGACCCTCGCCCTTCAATTCTTCTTGATGGTGGGTGAATACTGCGCTCAGCACCACGAGGTCCTGAGCGGGGGATACTGCATTAATATGCATAGTGTCCCAGTTTATGACAGCGGTGGCATCTCACCATTCGCTTGTCATTCGCAGGGAGAGGTTTCTCGCCCTCGACATTACAGAGATCCATTGAATCTGGACATCCGACTGCTAATAGTCTCTGTAAACGATGCGGGGTCGACGTAGCGTGAGACTGTCTCACGCTATAATCTTCTTGCTCCGCTGCGAAGATTGCTTCTGAGAGCGTCTTTAGCTCTCCGCGGAACAGGTGGTCCCTAACGGGACCGTCTGAAAGCCCTTGAATGAAGATTGTGATCAACACAAACTCACTCACAGGGCTCACTACCATGCAGCTTGCAATGTAGCGTACGTGGTAAGCGTAAGCGTGAACCTTACGATTACCCTGTTCAATTCCGAGGAGTTCAGATAGTGTCCTGAGCTCTGCTCTGGGCGGTTCGAACGTCTCACTGAGCAGGGTCTTGAAGACATCTAACGACCCAAACACATTTGGGTCGTGCAACTTGAGATTCAAGGCCCAAGATATGGCTTCTCCTGACAGGTTAGACTGAGCGAACGAGACTTGCATTCGCTCATCGTCGATGCGACGAGCATCGATGGCATCGTCCAGCTCGACGAACCACCTTAACAGGGAATCTTCCCAGACTTCTAGATACTTGGAGCCCTTTAGTTTTAAAGACCCGTCGACGCTCACGCGTCGGCTCTGCGGACTGAGACTGTTGTTGTCTCAGTGCTTCGGTCCGCTGGTGATCTTGTTGTTGAAACAAGGTCACCTGCGCTCGCGACTCATCAAGTTCACGTTGAAAAGACTTGCTAATGACGACAAGTTGCTGGTCCCTATCCCTTGAGGAAAGCATCGCCCATATGGCTTCCTCGCCAACGGTCGAACTCATTCGTTCGATCGCACTCCATTCGATGTCGCTCAAATGAAAGTAGCTCCCACGAGTTTCATGAAAGCTGTCGCCGTCTACATCATCGAACATGTTCATGTTGGGCGATGGGGTTGTGGTCCTTGAACGGACTATAAAGTGCTACCAGGTGTAACGGGGCACTGTTGACTACGTACTGGTTGACCAGTACGGAGTATACTTCCACTGACAACAGTGGTCGACAGTGCCCTGCTAGGTGTTGAAGGAACACAGAGGAAGGAAAGGAGACTAAGTAGTCAGACTAGTCTCTGGTAAAAGTAAAACTGTATTAATATAATTAAGTCCTATAACTTCTTGAGTCTCCGTTGTCCTGACTTAATTATACTAATGTAACTAAATGTATGATGACGTCTATTCACCACCCATTGCGCGCGTCTAGCAGCGATTGGTGGGTTGATATCATCACGATATCAACCAATGAGTAGACCATTCAGTCATCTCAACAATATCACCATGTCTGTGATATTGTTAAAAGAATATTCAACGTAATATTCTTTATTGTCGTATTGTTCCTAATGACAATTTTAATGTAACGGGCTACCCCGTTACAGGGAGCGCACGACATGCTAGACCAAGGTAGCTGTTTTTCGTCGCCTCAATACTTCCGATGACAATGCGCCTCACAAGCGCAACATGCCACCGTGATGCAAGTGCACAAGTGATGGAATGATCGTCGCCGATGGCTCCGAATGGAACGGTAACAAAAATGCCAGGCTCTTGTGCCTTCGTGAACGATATCTTAATTGACGGTGCGGCAGCACGCAGTTGCCACTTCGTCTATGGTCTTCTCATCCTTTGTATGTGGAAGCACGTTCACGTACATCACCGATTCAAGATGCGATACACAGCCCTAGCGCAAGTAGATGCATACAAGAACCGTGCTTGCTACCCAGTGTGACTCAGCAAGGCAGCGGCACAACACATTAGTGCTGTGTGTTGACGGTAGGATGTAACATTCGCTTACGCAACTCCCCGAGAGCTGGACAAGGTCGGAAGGAGCTGGATTGGGAAGATGTACAGTGCTTGCGCTTGCACACACTGTCGTGCTCGATGGTGCGACACTGCCTGTGAGCAATCATTCAGCAGGTCACGTGCGATCTTGTGGATGTTCGCTGTGGTTTCGTCCGCCCACGTCAAGGCTGATGTATTGCTCGACGAAGAGCAATTGCAGGGCATGCAATCTCGTTTTCCTTCTCGTATTCCACCAAAGCTACCCGCGTAGGCGAGCCGCAAGTCCTAGCACATTGATCATCGACATGTAAGTTGGTGTAGCTGGTGTACACATCTCCGCCAACGGGCGTTGTCGTCTCAATGTGTCCGACAGCCACAACCCTATTGTTGGATGCTTGACAGAGACGACATGTGTAAAGCCAAGAGCCCAGCTGGCCGGACATACATGCTCTTTGCCAAAGTCACGCAGTTTATTTGTTGACACTCACAGAGTCCCGAGCAGACGTACTGTCCGTCGTGGGTGTACAGCAGCTGGACTTGCGAGCAGAAGACCGTTCGTAGAGCCTGCTGAGAACAGATCCAGAGAAGTGTTTTCTATTCTGGCGTTACCACCCACTTATTCTACGATCGGAGAGAAAACATGCGCGACCTCCAGGATCGTTCGGTACGTATCGCATTCGCCGCTCGTGTGGCATGTTGCAACCGTGCATGCGACGTAGGCTTCTGGGTCGGACACAACTGATACATAGGAACTTTCGCAGACCGAAGGAGATTAGCGTCGTCTCTTGCTCTTCTGCTTTGGTGGTGTCAAGTACGTCCATTATTATGATAACTAACGACTGATAAGTGTGACAAGAAGTACGGCCCGGGTATCGGGTCGACAACTAAAGGGCTCCGTAGAGCCAGGGGCGACGGCAACGAGGTCAGAGACCCTCCTACCGAAGCCAACTACGAGTCAATCATGACCGCTGGCGCGACCAAGTAGACTGGGGACATGCGTTTTGCCGGAGCGGCAGCACGGACAACGCGGGTATGCTGCCATATAAGGCAACAAACCCCTTTAAACCAGCCTCGTGTTGCCATCGCTTGTCATGTTGGCCAAGCTATCGACACTGATCGACGAAGCCAATCGAGCGCCATCTCTGGACACGTACCATCACAAACGAGAACATGCGGAATTAGAACACGGGCGACGCTGCGCATAACACGTACCGATCAGACCTGGACACACCCACAGAACGGGCTGCGAGTTGCCGGTACACGAAAACCCGCTCGCTGTCCAAGCAGACAGCCGACCGCACCTCTTCTTCCGGATCAATTACGCGGAGGTCACTCCCGTGGGCAAATCACAAACATGCTCGCCGCACGCCCTCGTTCTGGCCTTTGCTGGAGCCTGCGACATAAGTGTCGGGACTGCGCAGTGCTTATGTCACACAGCCTACAGCGAAGACGTGGAGACCGACCAGACGTTGACCCTATCGTGAGCGATGCTCGAAAAAAAAACTGTGCACTGGTCGATGACACTGCTTGAACTTGCAATCTGGTCTGCCTCAAAGCAGAGCTGTACGGTTATCTTCTGTGGGCGTGCATCTCTGCCGGCCCTGAAGTCCATTGATCTCCCGCAATGTCCATTCCAGTGCATCGGTCATTATCCATTTCGCCATCATCAGCTTCCACGCCATCCGTACTCTCTCCACTCTTGCAGCCCGATCCTTATCATGCGCGTCTCCTTCCTCTCGTCTGTAGTAGTGGCCTGTGTCCTGTTGACTGGCAATGTCTACGCACAAGATGCTGATATGATGATGACCGAGGAGGCCCCTCCCGAGAAAGTGGGTCTGTGGAGCAGATTAAAACGAAGTGCCTACAACGCGTTCGGTCACAAGAAGAGCGGCAGTGGGATCGACGACACGAATGACAGCAGCGACAGCAGCAGCAGCGACTTCCGCGAGATGATGAAGAAGAACAAGGGGGTTATCACGCCCCCGGTTGAGGACAAGAAAGTCGAGAATCTGGCCGCAGGCAGCAAGGCAGCCTAAGGGAGCGAAGCTGTCGTCTCACGGTGTTCTGCGCACGCGTTCAAGTCTCAAGCCCCACGTCCAGTCCTCCAGGTCGTTACGGTCATCTACGATGCGAGGAAGATATAACTTTGGCACGAGAAGACCTAAAGTACCTGTTGGATAACTGGAACCATACAATCATGTGCACTTATCAGTTTGTCGTGCTTTGTTGTCCTCTGTTTAAATGCTGAGTCACGTGAATCGACATACGCTCGTGCTCTCATGCTGTTCCATCTACGTGCTGTCTGTTGTCTGAAGTAGAACTGGCGTCGTCTATTCCATGATCTCTGATGTAACGACCAGTCGTCCCCTGCAACTATTATGAAACCTGAACAACGACGAAAACCTCGGGGCAACGGGGCGTTCTTGTCTGCTGCCCACCTACATAATGCTGCACGGAAAATGGCCACCGTACACGATGCCGTGCGAATCGAGTTGCTAGAAGTAATCTCCTTTTCTGTCAATCGGCTTTGGTGATACGGTGGAAGTTGGCGGGTTTACTTTTCTCACGTGACGACAAACTGTCGTTGCGTGGCACATGAGTTTGTAGACAGACTCTTTCGGGCATTCACACCATTGGGCTACACAAACTACTTGCTGCCCACGTACGCAGAAGGATTGAGACAAAGAAGTGTCGGTGGCTTGTGAACGTTATACGTTGCAATTCGCTTGCAGCTATCTGTGCGCGCTCCTTCGAATGGCTGGTGGACTTGACCTACATACGTACGGCGCTTGCGTGGGGGCTCCCATCTTCATGGCATTCTACGACCTCCGCAACGCGTCAATCAACTTCGATGAAAGCTGCATTTGGTCTTCTGCACATTCACCACCGCCCACAAGCTCCCTCTGCCACGGGACTTGAATGCACAGGCTCGACAATCGGGTTATTCCGTGTTGAAAAATACCCGTTCGGCATTCCGAAATGCATTGACAGCAATATCTTCCCGGGATTCGCAGCGAATGCGGCTGAGGATTTCTAGAATCTGGCTGCAACGCAATAACAATTGATCTCAGTCAAAACTACACGATGGCGTGGCGCATAACAACGTGCTACATACATGAGTGTGCAAGGCTCGTTGCGTCCTTTGACGAGACAGTCAGGTTTGTACTTGTCAGCTTTCTTGCTCTGCCATGATGTTTCCACGTAGCAATGACCAGCATGTGTCGGGCGAATGTCGCACCAAGGAGCATCTTTCAAAATCAGACAAATGATGCAAGTCAAGATCGCGCGGCATCATGAGTCGATCACAACGCCCATGCAATCGGCTTACCAGTTTCAATCATCAGACGTTCAAGAGGGATCGCCTTGACGCAGTCCAAATTCTCCTCAGTCTTCAGAGAGCAGCCGTTCACCCCTGTTCACCAAGTATCAGTACGACATTGTATCCCAGTCAGGACTACTATCCCACCACGACTCAACAGTAGCGACTCACCAATGTAGAGCCCCAGCTTCACCAACCTGACCATCTCGTCCTTCCCACCCGTAAACGAGTGCACGACACCGTTCGAGAATCTTGATCGATTCTTCAACATGAGATCTTCCCCATTATCACAATGTACACACAGCGTTACACGACATGGCCTATTCACACTTTCCATCACCATTCATCTCCCCTTTGACATACAACGTACCGTAGAACTCGCCTCTTGTATTCCGATTGTGCAGAAACAACGGCAGCTTTGTCTGCTCGGCCAATTGGAATTGTTTCTCAAAGTACTTGAGCTGCGTCGCTTTGTCGCAAAACTCGAGCCGGTCGTAGTCCAAGCCGCACTCCCCAATAGCCACTACGATCCCCTCTTTTGTGCCATGCTCACACAGCGCCAAGAGCTCTGCAAAGTACGCATCAGGAGTCCTCCCGTCGGCCTCAAACTCGTTGCAACGCGTTGGGTGCACGCCCACCGTCGCAAAAAGACGCGGAAACGCATCGCTTGCAGCATCTCGCGCAAGTCGCACGGCCTCGCGGCTTTCGTCGAGACTTCCGCCCGTGATGATGATCTTTTCAACGCCGTACGCTTTGGCTCGAGCAAGAACGGTCGGGAGATCAGACTGAGCGATAGATAGCAACAGGTCACAGCAGGGAACGAAGGGATTGTTCGCGCACTCGGCAGAAAGTGGAAGGCGCTGACCACCTGACCCACAAAGAGATGCGCCGTACGTCGTACCTCGTGCTGTTGCTTGCCGCGATAGAGCCCGTGGAAGACTGCGTCCGTGAGGTTCGCGCCAATGTCGATCATCTTGGACGCCATCGTGTGGCGTTCCAAGCGACGCTGCATTGGTGGCGGGTCCTGTTAAGTGCGGTTTCGAGCCCTGCAGAACCTTAGATTTGATATTCGTTCTGGCAAGCACGTGTCGAGACGTCGTGGAGAGAAAGGGCCATGTGGGCCACACCAAACACGAGGGTCGGTGCCGCTGCTAAGTGCGCAGGCAAAACCCCGAACTTTGGGGCGAGCACCGAAGCCAGCGACGAACCCACTTGAGAGCTGACGAGAGGCAGTTGGACGGCGGACTCCGAGCGCGACGCGAAGCAGAGTGGCCGTTGTGGCTGTTGCTACGACAATCGAGTGCAGTGTCAACTCGGTCGACTGCATCTTGAAGACCGGAAAAGGCCATTGCAAATGCCATCGAACGACGTTCGGGACAGCAGCCGCAACTGCAGGAGAAGCAGCTGCCACACCTGGTGCAACTGGGCAATGGGTCTCTTTCTGCTCCAGTTATTGTTGCAATTGATAGGCACTACGGACGGAGACAGAAACGGTCAATGACTGGCTCACTTGCTGTTTCTTCGAGCAGTACGGCCCTCCGAGGCGCTATCGAGAACCGGAGCAAACAAGCGCCGCAAGAGCGCGTTCGACGGCCAAAGTCGGGACAGAGCTCGGAGCTGCAGACACACAGTCAAGTGCAGCAACTGGGGCTAGAAATGGTACACGCTGATGGCTGCCGTGGGAGTGTCGTGATAGCTGACGACCGTCTGAGCACTGCCATTTCTCATGCAGGTGAAGCTTCAGACGTCTTGTGGATGCTGACGGACGCACCGAGCTGGTTTGTGTGCCAGATACTTCCTTGAATCCGTCAACTTTCTCGGGCAATTCAGGTACTGCCGACCATATCTGTGTGCAGACGCAGCTGATGGGCAGCCGATCAAGGACCGATGGGACTCAAGTGCTGCGTCTCGACATCCGCTCCGAAACACTGCTCAAGTAGTTTTCATACCGACATCTTCATCGTTGCTCGTGAACCTCCAACTACCGTGCCCTCCAACGACAAGAAACATGAGAGGTAGTTCCACGAGTGCCATCCGTGAGATCCCCGCATGAATTTAAGGGTACGTCAAACGTGTGGACCAACCGGTCCAGCCTGCTGTGTACGACCCTCAGCTGATGCAGATGCTAACCGAATTCCACGCAGAGGTCCGCCTACGAAGCCCCGAAATACTTATTCCGATGGCGTGTCGAGAAGCGGGCCAGAGTCGAAGAGACCGACTGCACGACAACAAGTCGACCGTTGCGTGATGAACTGGCAAAAGGGATTGCTCCACTAGATGGCCAGGCAAGTCGCGAACGACTGGATCTGGAACGTGTGCGGATCAGGCACAAGACGGCTTCATAATCAGTTAGAGACACTCCTCGATGCCAACGCGTCTCAAGCCGAAGTCGCCTAACTCGTCTCGCACCAGGGAAGCAAGTGCGTACCCATCAGCCGTACTTTTGTTAGCAGTCTCTCGCAAGTCAAGCAGTACAGCCTTACGTTAGGCAGAGACATCGCCCGCACGATTTCATCCCTCTATGTTGCTATTTTATGAGTTATTGATTGACTCTACCAATACAGGCAACGTGCGCGCCACACGTTGCTGATCTTCGCGCCTTCTTGCCACGCTTTCGTTGTTACGATTTTCCGCAGCTGGGTAGCACGTGACTTCCACTACCCTGCCTCCCTAACTAGAGCTGATCGGAGTACATGCCTTGGCTTTCTTGAGCAGCGACTCTGAGTTTGCCGCTTCCTCCAGAACCAGCTTCCGCTTTAACGCTGCTGACTTGCCACTTGCGCCATCGCCACAGGCAACGGCGTTGCTTCCTACATTCATACCACTACTATCGCATTTTGCGTCATTGCTGTCGTCGTTGTTGCGATCGCTCTTCTCGGTCGTTGCTTTCGTCAACGGGCTGCATCCATTCTCACTGCTGCTGTTGGGTGCTGTGAGCTTCCATGATATTTTCTGGAACACGGTCTTCAACTGCGGCGATCGGGATTTGCCAAAGGCTTTGTGATGAGCTTTCTTGAGAGCAAGCACATTGCTCTTCCCCAAAAATGATTGAGTGTCCACATCTTCTTCTTCCTTCTTGCGTACTGGAAGCAGGAGTTCTCGTTCGTCATCGTTGTCAGCATCAGCATCACTTACAGATGGGGAGGGTGCTCCATCACCTATTACATCTTTCTCCACACTAGTCCCATCGTCGTCATCGTCGTCGTAGTCCACCAACTTGATTGACCTCGGACGATTTTGACAGCACACCTCCTCCTACAAGAAAGTATGCACCGCGGCGCCATTTGTCAGCTACTCACGAAGAAAATAGCATCCGCAATACTCACATCCTTACCTCCGATAGCCCACTTTTAAGCTCAAGTGCAGGACCTTCCGTTTCCGTATCTTTTTCCCAATACAACTCCTCCGTATCGTCAATACTTCCTGCTCGTACAAACCGAATTGTACTGGTCCCGCTAGAATCGGAAGCCGCGTCCGCTGAGCCTGAGTTTCGATCACAGCGCACACGGATGGCTTCAAACACTAACGGGCATTCTGCTTTGTAGGTCTCATAAAACTTTGTGTAAACGTATTCGACCAATGACATCAGATTTGCCTGGACGCACAAAATCGTCATTAGCAATCCGTCATGTGCACTCCAAACCTCAACAGTCAACCCCACCTTCTCAATAAATGACAACACTTCCAAGATTGCGGAACTGACGGCTCCCGTATTTGCTTTTCCAATCTCCAAATTGGCTAGCATTGGCGTAAACAGATCGTTCTGAATCAGAAATCGGGAAAAGAAAGCTTCTGATCGGACTGCGCAAGCTCGGACAAACTTGACAGCGTCTGCGCATGCACAACACAACACATAAGCCACGTTGCCGGAACATGGAACCTTGCAAACAAGCTTGCAGCACCTGGACGGTGAATGGCCATGTTCTACTACGTACGAATAACGAAGAGCTTGTTCTTCGAACGAAGCATTTTCTCAGCATACGATGCAACCGGTTGCCGTCCGAACAGATACTTCACGCGGTAACCGTGGTTCTCCGTGCAGAACGTGAGCAGCTCCATGATGCTGTCATGCAAATTGAACATGGCGGACTCGTTTTCGACAGACAAATTACTCTTCAGTGGCTGGAGCAACCAGCGCATATAATTCGGGTACAAGACGCTCAAAAATTTGTCGTCCTGTCAGAAAAAGCTCACCAAAGTCAGTTGCAACACACCAAGCAGTGCGCTCTTGTTTGCCCTTACCTGCCCCTGCGGCACGCGGAAGATCTCCCTCAGCAGATTAAACACTTGGATGCGTAACGGCTCGTCGCGCTCAAAGACAACCAGCAGTGCCGTAAACAGCGATGATTCGGGTGTCCACGCGATGCGCTCATCATCCGACGTTGGCGCTAGTACACACTTTCCCTCACTTGCGAGATATGCCCGTAGTCTGTCGGAGCCCAGGTAAAATGCCAACACATTCAAAATGTCCACCACTGACGCAACTTCACCCGCTTTCGAGTCAGGAGAGCCCAAAATAGCACCAAATGCCGCAAAAAGCTTGCCATCGTCAAAAAGCGTGTCAATGATGGAGCTGAACACAGGCAGGGCTCCAAACGGCTCACGGCGTTGAGGCCTGTCCAACCGCTTCGTCACCCGGGTCAAGTCGATAATCGCTTTCAGCAGTCCAAGGCCATCCTGGCGCTTATCACCACTGGCAATTAGCTCCTTACTAACATACAAACCCAAACGCACGACTCCGTCAGCTCGCCCCTTGTACCAGAAACTGTCTTCGCAGTTGCAAAAGAAACACGTACACAGTCTCTCGATAATCTTCGGTCTCAGAAATGTACGAGAGAATGTAAAAGTTATTCTCGTTCGCCATGTACTCCAGCAAAAGCATGCATCCGTCTGGTAAAGAGCGCGACAGCACATTGTCTTTAATCACTTGGATACGAAAGTTGGTGTGCACACGCTCCACCACAGATCGATCAGTGATCGGAATCACCTATCGTTCACACAGGACCCGCCACAAACCACGTCAGCATCACCACCTCAAGCAGCTTCTAGCAAGTGCACCGTGTCGCTCCTACCTCGTTAAACCCTCCGTCTCCTTCCAACGCTGACCGAAAGTCCGTCTCACGCTTCAATCCAGGATTGTAGCCAAACACGCCCACCACGGAGAGAAAGTTCTTCTCGTCCAGTAGAATCGCAATCAACTCGCGATTGCACATCTCCACTACCACACGTGTGCACAGACGCAGAAACAAACACGGAACCCACACAAACAGCTTTTCCGTCAGTGTCGTCGGACCTGTCACGCGCGGCGCTGCCCACTGCACGACCGCCAGCAACGTTGGCGTTCATTGTGTGCACTCACGTATAGCGTAGAAAACGTCAAAGAGCTTGTGCAGCACGACCGGATCGGCGTCCAGTTCACAGACGTCAAAGAGGTCCAAGAGCTCGACAATGTACGCGCCGTCCTGTCCGTCAGTTCCACACGCAAAAGTGAGTCGCTCAGTGTCGCTCTGTTCGCCGCGATCGCCAGCCGTCGACAGCGCGCACCCACCCACCTCGTCCGCCAGGTCCGTCACTACTTTCGACCGCACTGTCGGGTGCGACGACTTGAACAGGAGCAGAATCGCGTCCAAGTGCTCGACGGCACACGTCGGCAGCTCGCGACTGGCACAACAGCGCAGTCAGTCAGTCAGTCAGTTAGTGCCCATCCTCCGCAGCCAATCACGACAGCAGAGTCGCTGTATAGAGCGCCTCACGCCACGTACGGTGCAATGTCGTCGCCAAAGAGCTGATCAATGCTGCTGTCGCTGTCCATCGTCGCGGCCGGAGCCATTGATCGGCCGCCTCTTCTTCTTCTCCTTCTTCGTCTCCTTCTTCGTCTCCTTCTTCCTCTGCTCGCTCCGGTCGGACACGCGGCTGCTGTGGTCGCGTGCGGCGGCAGGTGCGGACTCGACGTCGAGCAGCGGCAACAACTCGGCGCGTCTCGCGTGCGTGTTGCGGTTACTTTTGCCGAGTGAGATTTTCCCGCTCCCCCCCCCTTTCTTTTAGCCGGTAGGCCAACTGGCGAATGAAAGAGTGGGAGGTCGGGCTTTTGGCCAATCACCGATGAGGTGCGGGGCGCGCGCGTGTCCCATCGGAAGGACGACGACGAGGAGGCGGACGAACGAGAGTGGCTGACGGACGGCAAGTGGGGCAACCAGAGTGATGGTCGAGGCAACCGCGAAAACAGACAGACACGCGCGCGACCCGCTCGTGTTGCAGGTGACTGCGCACGCGACCCTCGTGTTGACAGCTATGCGCGCACGTGAGTGGTCAATAAAGAAACGACCTTCATTCCGTCGTCCACCGCCGTGCAAGAGTGTAGGTCGATTGCATGCCGTTCGACGAGCAGATGTTTGAGCGACCAGCTGGTCGGCCGACCAGATGTTTACGCACTGGCGAGCAACGGCGACAATCGATCTCGGACACTCCCTCGGGTTTCATTTCAGCCAATGATTGCATCCGTGGCAAAACGCCGCTTTTCTGCCAATCGAGCTTCGATCCGAAGTCGACACTGCGACCGCCTTGGGACTACTTCTCATGGCAGGACGGGAGTTCGCCCATGTTCAGCCGGTGCGTGTGCGCAGGCGCGCTTTCGGCTGCGCTTAACGTCTCTGGCGCACAGTGTAATTTGTTCTTCTCAACCGCATTGACTCTCTCTTGCTGCTTGACAGGACAATGCCGAAGTCGAGCGCTCTGTGCTCTCACAAGAGGTAGCAATTGCAGGTCGGCGCTTTGTCATTGGTCGAATATAGCGCTGAAAAGTGTTTGTATTGGCTGCTGCTGTTTCCATCAGGTGGAGGCGCTGCGGAACCGACTTGGTCTTCGTCAAGTAGATGTGTCGAAAGAGTGCGGCGTGAATGCCAGTATGTTGTCGCAGTGGATGCTGGGCAGGTACAAGGGCAACGTGGGGCGAGTACGTGGCACCTGATACCGCGCAATCGTGTCGATCTCGATAAGGTGGTTGCATGCCGCTGACTGGTTTGTGGTGCGTGACGCCGTGCAGATCAACGGACTGATGGAGTCATGGCTGATTCGGCGGCGTGGAGGCAAACCTATGGACAAGGGTATGATATGTACGGTTGGTTGGTGTCGTGTGCAAAAACACCGTTGTGCTTTCTGCTGCAGTCGTACCTGATCGGTTTTTCGTCGTTAGTGTTTAACTCGACGGTCAGCTCGCCCAAGCTGAAGCGAAGACTGGAAGAGATGCACGATCCGTTGCAAGCTGCGCGGAGGTAGAACGTTGGCATGGCGATATAGTTGTATACGTGCTGAGTTTGTTTGTCATCCTGTTGAATTCACTGAAGCAGGAAAGACGGTATGATCCTCGCCCAACGGAAGCCTTACAGCTATCCCAAAGTACGTTGCCAATCTGTCCAGTCTTCAGTCGTTGGCGCTAACGCGACTTGTCACTCATTGCAGTTCCCGACTCGTGAGACGTTGCTTATCCCCATCAGACTCGATATCGATATCGAGGGCTACCGTTACATTGATTCGTTTTCATGGAATCTGTACGTGCTGTGTCTGTTTTGTGTAAAGGAAGTGTATGTCGCGGTAGACACTAAGCGATATGGCGCACGTATCACGTTGTGCAGTTACGAAAAGGATTTTACATACGAGACGTTTGCTGCAGCACTTGTACGAGACTTGGATCTGCCTGATTGCTTTTACAAGCGCATAGCCAAGTCGATTCAGGATCAGGTTGAGAAAGCGCAGAGGTTGTTTCCGTGGCACGAAGCCGTTGCTAGCGAGAGTTTGCACCCCATATATATCAATCTGAGGCTGAACGATACTATTTATATCGATCGGTTTGAGTGGGACCTCAATGATCCGAATAATTCGCCCGAGCAATTTGCACGGATTGTGTGCGAGGACTTGGTAAGCCTGGCGGCTTTCATGATCGCGATATCCGACTGACTCAAGTTATCGTTTACAGGGCTTGCATGGCGAGTTTGAAGCTCAGGTGGCATTGATCATCCGCGAGCAGCTTCGCGACTACTCTAGAGTAAGCATCTGCATGTGTGTTTGGTATGATTCGGGCTGCTGCTGACACAAACGTGATGCGGTGCAGCTCATTCGGGAAGGCTTGAAAAGTCGAGTTTCCAAGCTACCACCTGTCTCAGCAGCGTTCCGCGATCGACTGGAAACAAAAGTGTGGGGTCCTTCTGTGAAGTTCATCTTGGCAGACGACATTCCACAGCTTGAGCGAGAGGACTTCAAGCGGATGAGGCCTTTGTCGCGCCCAACGATGCACGTGACTCTGCCCCCACCGGTCTCCACGAGGCCTAACCGACCGCCTAAACCGGTGAACACATTCCTAATGTTCTGCAGGTACTACAAGCGAGTCAGCACTATGGTAGATAGATTGCGCGCTTGGGATGCTGACGATGCTGATGTTGTAGACAAAATCGCAAGAAGATAATGGCTGATTATCCGAGCTCTAGCGCTAAGGATGCGTCGAAGATTCTTGGAGATATGTGGCAAAAGCTATCTGAAAAGGAACGAGCGAGGTACGTGCATGAATGGACCAGCGAGAGCTACTTGAAGCACATGTAATAACCGAAGTGCATTGTTTCGTAGCTACATTCCAATGACGGAGGCAGAAAACCAGCGGCGAATGAATGAATGGCGGATGAAAGAGAATGCTCTGAACGGTATTCACACTACACTGACTGCTGGCGTCGCCAGTGCACTACCGTCGGGATCCACAACGCGCGTCTCCCCTGCAGTGCCAGGGACCCCGGTACGACTTGCTCCTCGAGTCACTTCCAGTGTCGCTTCGTCGATGGACGAAGGAGATGACGTTGAGAACGAGGACGAAGACGAGGAGGAGGACGACGACGATGACGACGACGACGACAGCGCTTCGTTTCGTGTGGACAGCGTCTAACACTATGGACGTGCTTGGCGTCGTTGTTCTTGCAAGAAGCGCGTGTTCGTTGGGCGCTTTTACATGTCAAGTCTCGTTGCTACGCGTCTCGTTATTGTCCGTCGTAGGCGACAGTCTCCATTTCGACTGGTAAAAGTGGTTTTCCAGCTCAAACAGAGCCGACGAGATGTCCGAACTCAAGTGAGAAAGGTGCGCGTCCACGTCGTCACACCTACAGAGTCAGTGCATCAGTCGCTTGCGTCAGACCTCATCGCGCAAAGCCGTAACAAGCGCATCTCACCGCTTCAGCAGCTCCGTCGACGTCGCGTCCACGTTTTGGCTCATGCCTTCGAAGTCGCCCAGCGCCAGCGACAGTTTCATCTCGGACACGAGCTTCAGCAGCGACTCGCTGGCCTGGACCAGCGTCGTGGCGTAGATGGAGCTCTGGAACGACTCGCGCGTGGTGTTGGCCGAGTCCTTGATCTTGGCGGTCTTGACCAGTCCCTTGAAGTTCTCCACCAGCTTCTCCACGTTATTGTCGAGGCGCTGTCGGTACTCCTCCGCCATAGCTGCCCAAAGTTAGGAATGAGCGCATGATTTAGGCGCGTGACCTTTTAGTCACGTGGCTAAAGTAAGAAGCGGTGTTTGGAAACATAGACAGTGGTCAAATCTAGACATTCCGATCGAAGGACTGGGACTGGGCATTGCACCGGGTTTGGTGCATGTCCTCGTCCCTGGCGCACGTGTGGTTCACGCTGCGATCACCACACTGATGATTCGTATACTGTTGGAGTTCGCCTGCTTGCTTTGGTCGCATTCAGGTCTTGCCGTCACAAAGAGTCACACCTGTCGCCTTCCTTTGCGCAGTTCGTGAGGTTGGCCGTACTGCTTACAACGAAAAAAGACACTGTCGCGAAGCACAAACTTGAGTGTAAACGAACAGTGTCACCGCTTCTTTTGGCTACGCTTCGACTGTCGATGTAGACGCTCAAGGCCCGTCATGGCGAATGCAATACAGCATAACTATCAGTGCAAGTACCAAATACGCTGTTACATGTGCATCTAGTGGTCAATGCCACGGACAACAAGCCACTCTATCTACTTTTAGCTAGTCTCCGGAGAAACACCGCCCCGAGAAATAAGAGAGTCATGCCAAAAATACAAATGTCGTCGTTGTCTTGACGTTATCGTTTCTTACCTGTTCCTTTGCCGCGATGTCAACGACATCAACGAAATCTACATCTTGAGGGCAACAAAAGTGCAACGTACGAGTACACGTCCGTCACTAGTCATGCAGACTGGACGATAACATACAGACTTCATCTTAGAGCACAGTCACCTTCTTCTGCTGCCAGTAATGCGCCAAAACATGATCAAAAAAACGCATTTGCCAAGCCATGTAGTGCGGGTTCCGACGCAAACCCCTCGTACAACCGTCATCGACTCGCGCACTATACACTCTCGTTTCGATGCCATATGTATGGACTCTGCACTGATACGCAAACGTCGCGAACTGCTTGTCCACATCATTATGGCCTTCGACACGATTCCGTCTTCTTCATACACCATTGACGCAAACAACAAGCAGCTTTGAGGGTAAGTCTGCCGCTGACTAAAACAATCTGTCTGGATCGCCATTGTTGATCCGTACGAACGACAAGTAGCAACGACGCGGCGGTGTGGCGAAAGGCTGGTCTTGAACGTGTGCAAAACGCGATATTTGTATTCGAAGTGGTTGCGGTTTTGGTAAGAAAGACAAGCAAAGTTGCACTATACCGAGATGCATCGGCACACAGCATTGTCACCAAGATCAATCATTTGCTTGCGCGTACTTTGCAAGTGAAAACGGCGACCGACACTCCTTTCCGTATCGTGTCCATTGCGGAAGAATGTCAACACTTACTTGGCCATGCAAGAAGCATCCCAGCGCCATCGTATGTTCATCGGGGCTCCGCATTTGTCTTCGCCATATCTTTACCAGCCCTCCAGCTCATGTGTTGTGTGAGTTCCCAGCCTGAACGCGCTTTGGCCGAGCAAGATAGCATCTCCAGTTGGTTCGATTGCGCGGTGACTCTTTTGCGAAGCAGGTGCTGTGCACCTCTCTGCTACGGCTTGACGTGCAAGTGACCCGATTATAAACACCACAAAGGTTCACACAACATGAGCTTTGCCGGACTGAAAGCATCAAGCTGGCAGCGCCGATTGCTCAATGCGACGTGACGTGATGCTGAGAATAGCAGAAGCAAACACGTGTGTCGAGATGCAATGTGAACCGACGACGTGGTACCGACGGTCTCGTAGAGTGTATACTGATAATCACACAGGCTGCAGCGGCTACCGACCATTGCTTGGGCCTTTCTGATAGCGATTAGCCATTAAGTTTGCATGCTCTAAGAGTTACTATGTGCGACCGGATGTGGCGCTTTCCCCCTTTCGTCTAAGACAGGTTTTGTGTACACTGGACTTCATCGCGCTTTGACGCAAGCAGAAAAGTGCGGATTCGCGTACGTACAATGTATTTCTCCTCGATCAACTGCCGCACAAACATGCAGCTATTTTCTTTGTCAGTCGCGGAGTTCATTTGTTTTTCACTAGTCGTGAGGACGTGCAGCGAATGCTTGCACTAATGTCAAATCTGAAATGTTGCGCTTCCTTTCTGAATCAAAACTTGATCGAATCTGATGTGCGATGGATTGCTCAGTTGAGCACGCGTGATGGATGTCACGCTTTGGAATGGATCTGCAGTCGACGTGATCGCGCGCTAACTTAGGAACCAGCGAGAACCGTCGGCTAAAATAGAACTAGTATTTCTAACCACCTTCCTATTCGCTGTCATCGAAGAATCAGGAGAGTCCAAACTGACAAGTCGGAGCGCTAAATTCGATGTCCCTCTCAAATTCAATCGAGCCCTGTCGGACAACGGGTGCTGTCTCCCTCTGACAAAAAGAGGATCGAAAGAACCGACGACACAAAGGACGCCCACTCGACCAATCAAAGCCCCCGATCTTTAGGTTTTATGCCAAAAAACCTTCTCAACAAACTTGTCCCGAAGCTGCCCCCTCCTACCGCGTCGCCTGATACAAACGTTCCTCGTACGTCCGCGAACGTCTCTTCAGGTAACGTAAAGCCTGTGCGCCGTCCAGACGGCTGTCCCTCTGGCAGCAATAGCAGCGAAAACAGCAGCAGCAGTCGCCCCCCACTGCTCCACTCCTCACTCCCCTCAGCGCTGCGCGTCGCCACTCGCACAGATCTGACGTCTCTCTGTTTGCTGCAGCTCTTCTCAAAACAAACCCCTCTCGAATCCGATAGTCACCACGTATCATGTTGGCCCAACTCGTCGCCGACGTGTGCCCCTCGTCCGCGTCGTTCTTCGGCTTCATGGGCGTCGCGTCCGCCCTCGTCTTTGCCAGTACGTTCCCGCGCGCTTGAGCTCCATCGCAGCCCCCAGTAGTAGTAATGGTAGTAGTCCCCAGTAGTAGTAGTCCCCAGTAGTAGTAGTAGTAGTAGTAGTAGTAGTAGTAGTGGTAGTAGTAGTTGTAGAGAAACCACTACTACTTCTACTATTACTACGATTACTACCATTACTACTACTACTACTACGACTACTTCTATTACTACTTCTGCAATTAGCACTTTGTGTATCTGACGTCGCTCATTGAGTGATCCAGCTCATTGACTTATTCAATGACTGGCTGGCTGATTGACTGACTGTGTTGTTTGTGTGATTTGTGTTCAGATCTGGGGGCAGCGTACGGCACGGCCAAGTCGGGCGTGGGCATCGCGTCCATGGGCGTCATGCGACCGGATTTGGCCATGCGCAACATCATTCCCGTGGTCATGGCGGGTGTGCTGGGGATCTACGGTCTCATCGTGGCCGTGATCATCCAGGGGTCCATTGACCCTCCGAATGGGAACTCGCCCAAGTACGGCTCGTACTCTGGTTTCGCGCACTTGGCAGCGGGTCTCTGCTGTGGACTGAGCGGTCTAGCAGCGGGGATGGCCATTGGCGTGGTAGGAGACGCCGGCGTGCGCGCCGTGGGGCAGCAGGAGAAGCTGTTTGTGAACATGATTCTGATTCTGATCTTCGCGGAAGCGCTGGGGCTCTACGGCTTGATCGTGGCGCTGATTCTGTCGCAGAAGAAGAGCGACTGCCCATCGGAGTAACCTGTTGCGGTAGATTGGAGTTTATAGGCGCGAAGATCATTCGAAAAGATATTTCGTTTGGCCATTTGCTGAGTTTGGATGAGATCGTTGGCGACTTTCTTCGCTACATCCGATCCAGTAGCTAGGATGTGACGGAGCATTGATCTAAGAATAAGAATGAAGCCAATGCTTGCGTGCTAATGGTCATCCCAAGACTTTCTCGCAGGCAATAAAACGAATGCTGCGCTGAACGAGGTGCGCGTTGAGCCATTTGTTTGCACGAAAGTTATCGATTGCTTTCCATCGTAGCACTAGCATCAAGTCTCCTATATATATATAATCGCCGCATCGGACGTATTGATAGGAAACACGGCCAACCCTTACTGCATGTTCGTGTCTCAGGTGTTATTGGAGTGATACGTGAAAAGGTTTTTCAAACCCAAATGCAAGAAAATTAGTCACATCCAAGCCGATGTGCCATAGAAACAGTCATCAGCAATAACTATTAGCTACAAAAGTTTTTACAAATGTTGGGAACAACACTTAGCCAATCCTTGACATGTAAAGGTGAGATACCTGTCGCTTTTCAGGGCTTACGTACTCAGATAAACGTCCGAAACTACGAAGCGCCGCGATGTAAGTCAGCAGTTACAATGCGTTTAAGGACTCGAAACAGGTATTTCCTCGGTAAACAAAATGCCTAAACTTCACCTCGCTATTCGATCACCTGAATGATTCTATTCAGAGTAGCGCGTTTAAGTCTGCAAACTCCAATCTACCGCAACAGGTTACTCCGATGGGCAGTCGCTCTTCTTCTGCGACAGAATCAGCGCCACGATCAAGCCGTAGAGCCCCAGCGCTTCCGCGAAGATCAGAATCAGAATCATGTTCACAAACAGCTTCTCCTGCTGCCCCACGGCGCGCACGCCGGCGTCTCCTACCACGCCAATGGCCATCCCCGCTGCTAGACCGCTCAGTCCACAGCAGAGACCCGCTGCCAAGTGCGCGAAACCAGAGTACGAGCCGTACTTGGGCGAGTTCCCATTCGGAGGGTCAATGGACCCCTGGATGATCACGGCCACGATGAGACCGTAGATCCCCAGCACACCCGCCATGACCACGGGAATGATGTTGCGCATGGCCAAATCCGGTCGCATGACGCCCATGGACGCGATGCCCACGCCCGACTTGGCCGTGCCGTACGCTGCCCCCAGATCTGAACACAAATCACACAAACAACACAGTCAGTCAATCAGTCAGCCAGTCATTGAATAAGTCAATGAGCTGGATCACTCAATGAGCGACGTCAGATACACAAAGTAGTAATCCTAGTAATCGTAGTAGAAGTAGTCGTAGTAGTAGTAGTAATGGCAGTAGTCGTCGTAGTAGTAGTAATGGTAGTAGTGGTTTCTCTACTACTACTACTACTACTACTACCATTACTACTACTGGGGGCTGCGATGGAGCTCAAGCGCGCGGGAACGTACTGGCAAAGACGAGGGCGGACGCGACGCCCATGAAGCCGAAGAACGACGCGGACGAGGGGCACACGTCGGCGACGAGTCGGGCCAACATTCTTCACAAGATCTTCGACTTTTCGCGACAACGTAACAAAAACTAAAGTGAGCGCTGTGGTATTACAATATTCACGATAGCCGTTGATTGTTAGCGTCTTGTGGTGAAATGATGAGCGATTGAACGATGGGATGAGTGCCAGCGGTATTCGCTTTACGCATATGACTCTTTTTAGCGCACACTCCAAATACATTCGTCCAGACATAAATTAGATGGAGTGCACGACGTGCGAAAATGATCGGACAGACCACAAATTCTTTCTTCTTGTACGAATATACGTCAGAAAGCGTGTAAACTACCCAAGAGATTCGCTAAAACGTCGTCGCGTGCCGGCCACGTTCCTCATTTGACACGCCGGTGACACCGCAAGTCCATTGCGTTATGGATTTTTCAGTCAGCAAAAGTCGTAACAAACCAAATCACTGCTTGGCTCTGTATCCACGCGACGGCCTATCTTTTGATCACATGACTGTAATCCACAGACGCGTCACTCCCGTCGAACAGATTCGCGCGTTAGCCGAAGATACTTCGGTCAGACAAGTGGACTCGTGCCTGAAAATATGTGATCTCATGCTTGCCACGTCCCTTGTCTAGCACGATTGCATTGCCGTAGTGACCGATTGGATGCTAACATCACGCTTGACTCCAGAGCTCCTATCGCACAAGACAGTCCTAACAACGGCCGCAATGCTTGAATCTACTTGCTCTCTTCCTTCTTCCGGCAGAAATATCTAGAATACTTTTGACGCCCGTGCACGGAACCAGCCTGCCATGACTGTCGAAGAATAAACGATGAAAGATATGTTGTTGACCCTCTATCAAGAAGGTGTGGAAGCGTTGTGCATAGAGAGGAGAACATCGTATCCAGTGGTCTGAAGGCCTCCCGCAGGAAAAAGCCGAATCAAGTAATCAAGTGGGTTGTCTCAATGGGTTCGTCTTACGGATGGAGAGCAAAAGCTGGACCATGCACTTCGTCCATGATGTCCGCGAGGACCATCCGTGTACATAGGCCGATGGATTGAGCCGTCAAACTCGACGAAGACAACCGTATCACGCAGGCTGTATCCAGCGCAAGGCATTGACGGAGGCACCCCCCGATGGTGCAGTAGGCGTCGCAAGATTCTATCGATCACACGTCCATACCAACAGACTCAGGATCACTTTGATGCACGTCGTCGATGTCTCGGCCACGGACCATATTATCCTCTTTTGCCTTCCTCGTCGTCGATCACGCCCACACCGTTTCGGCATTGCTTGAACGGAATGCATTTAGAGATAACTTCATCCGTTCTGGTTCGGTAAACGGCGTCCGCGGCGCGAAGGGTGCGCACGACTAGTAGCGGACATACGAAGTAGTGTCTACTGACAGGGGAAGTCGTGAAAGGTTACAACATGTTTAGCTAACTCAGGCGAACATAAAGAAGTGATATGTTGGCACCAAAAACGGCCGGTGCAACCACACCTGCCTTTACGTCTCTTATGCAACTCGATGTGATTCGACTGAAAGACTACCGAGTGGTGACGCGATTGCAACTATAGGACGGTTCAGCACAATGACACGTGTAGTTCAGGAAGCCACATCAGTTGCAAAGCGAAACTTTTTTATTCAGACACTAAGATCACAGCCACCAGTTGGATTTCTTACGACAAACAAATAGATCGCAGTGTCGAAGTCGATCGCAGAAGCTCGTATCGCACTGCACTCGGTCTTGGGAGCTTGGTCACTTGCCACGCTTGATGGAGACTGTCATGCTCCTTCGCTCTCGCCATGCTTTCTGACTCTGTAGTACCCGTTTAATTGAGGTTGTGCCTGTTCCGCTTGCTGCTTTGGTCACTGCTGCTGTCGTCGGTGTTGTAAGCGACACCGTTTTGACCGTCCATCCTACGGTCCCGTCGGACGAAGATATCGTAGAAACTGAAGCCACGCAGATTCTGGTGGTCGGGCGAATCGGATAGCGCCTGGTTGGATTTCAGCACTTCCACGGACTCCACTGCAAAGGCGTCGCCGAGCGCAAACAGACAAACCATAGCCAAGGCCGACAGGCACGAGAAACACGAAACGCGCATGTTTGAAGATAGGTCAGTAGGAGGTGCAGAAAAGGTGGATGCTCGTGATGGCAAGTTAGAAAGTGATGACTAAGTCGCCCATGGAAACTGAACCATTAGGAACAGGCCCTTGCGAGAAAAAAGATCGAATTCGATGGACGACGGCCGTTTGGCTCTACTTCAAGACGGACCAGCATCGAGTTGTGGCAGTGTCATCAACTCTCGTACATAGCATGGGGTTCCAAGCACGGCGTACGATGGACTGTCACACTTTCACGTACACACTACCCCTTCTTCGTTACTAGCAGAGGCGAAATCAGAATCGGTGACCGCTAGGAGCCGCCTGCCCGTCATTTGTCGTCGGGTGAGACGCAGGCAGAAGTCACCTAGCCTCGGCCCTTTGGCAGCAGCAGGGCGATTTGTGTTAAAAAGTCGGCGTCAGCTGGCGACTCCGGCAGGAGTCGCGAGCTCTGGATACGCATGTACCTCCACGCTTGATTTAAAGGGTGCAGGCTCACAAACTGTGGAAGCACTAGAGGTTGCAACTGCATACGTGCTCTGGTTCAAGTTGGTGTCCAATACTGTCACATCGGTCCTGAGTGACTTAACATGGCTTTGCAGATTGGTCTGTATTGACACGGTAAGAAGAACACCGAACAGTGGATCCCGATCGAAACGCTGAAGGGACCTGCATCGACCATGAGATCGTTCCACGGTCCGAGCTGACTGTCGATGCGTGATATCTCTATCACCATCAGGCTAAGGCAGCTTGCCACGGTGTATCGACTTCTTGGAAGCACCATGAGTGGCCCCACAGGCACCGACGGCTTCTACGTCAAATACGATCTCGCTCCGTTCGTCGAAGTTTGTCAGGCGACGCTTTTCGCACCGAGGCTATCATCTTTCGGTCCGATTCCCTTTGTTTTGCACGTACACATTTCGTGCGAGCTGATCGACTGTTTATGGCTGGCCTTCAACCGGTGGATCAAGTTCAATGCTATCGCCACTGAATGTTTCAAGTGCTGTCATGAATCTGCCTCATGAGATTACGGGAGAGATGTGAGACCGTAATCCGCGCGTAACGTGCAGTTAATTTCGACGGCATGCGATTGTACAGCTGCAATCCAATATGTCGTATCAGGAGGTGCTCCTCCTGACAAGACACGTCACTCGGTGACCACGAACGCACGATAGCCACCTTTCTCTTTCCTGCGTTCGTTCGATCGGGAATTCACTCAACATCAACATGTGGCTCGTGATTGTCCGACGGGCGACGCACGCAATCCGAGCCGAAGGACCACTCCACGGGTCATGCCTGCTTTGTACCTCGCAGCTGGATACGTGAGCGTCAGCGCCTTCAACGATCTTATCCTTCCACCATTACCATGTGGCAAAAGGAACGAGTGTTTCTTTTGACGCTGCCGAATAGTCAATGTCGGGGAAAGATCATTGTTTACTGCCATGTGAGCGACTAAGAAGCAGACGCCTGACTCGCCAAGCTTGCAGTGGCATAAGAGTGGCTGGACCGCAAGCGTGTCGTCTCGGCTAGGGGGTCGGTAGGTACGACATTCTGCCATGTTGAAACGACAACAATCTTTGACCAGATATGTACACTGGTACACCATTTGGTCTGTGTGCTCGAAGTTAGCGTTTAATTCTTGCGGCTCGCGATTCTGAGTCCGCAGCAGACATATGCAATGAATGTGCGATCGTATATCACCCAGCCGTTCTTTGCTCAGCAACGAACGGCAGATCCTATGTGGAAGTAGAAAAATCATCCTGCCTGCAGCAGGAGGCGCCACTCCCAAATGACGGGCTGGCTGTTCAATAGCGCAATGTCCTAGCCCAGCAAGCTTATGCCAGATTGCTTGCTCATGCCGTGAGCATTGCGGCTTGTTTGTTCGTGCATGGGGCACAAACGACTGGGTGCGCGTTCGATTATTGACGATGGCATTTGGTTGCGGGGTAAGGCCCCTATGTGGTGTCTGGTGCTCTAAGGTGTCGCCCTCCCAGTACTACGTCCCTTTCCACGCGGTATCCTTTCGTCGCGTGCACGAGACAACATTCATAAGGTTGCACGAGCATTTTGTATAGATTACATTGCTACCAATATGAGAAACACCCTACAGAGAACGATGCATAATAGGAGGGGACTCGGCTGCTTAGAGGTTGCGCAGCGGTCAATGAACAAAAGACTTTGTCAATACAACACGTCGGTTTGTTGTCGGTGAAGTAACGGCAATCGTTCAATCTGTTTTTATCGCTAATAGGTTTTCGCATGTCTTTTTCACAGAATATTGTATTAGCATATTTCTGTAGGTAGAGTATCAAAGTAGATATTGCTCAGAAAAGGTGTGGGACTATCTCCGGACACACCCTCACGGTGGTGCTGTGGAGTTATTCATCACAAAACCACTCAACAAGTCAGAGTCTACTGTATCGGCCATAAATCGATTCATGAACAGCTCATTAGACTGCAGCAGGTCCGCGGAATGATTACTGAAGTGTCACACCATCAAGAATGCGACACTGTATCATGGTATAATCGAACCCCGACCTGTCGAGCTGGTGGGTAGCCACTACAAACTTATGGTGATCGCAAAGACAATCAAATTGATTGACTTGGTTACGACGGCTTCTCCTCTTGGCCGAGGCATTCGAACCGTTGGGAGATTATCGTCACCATTTTGCGAGGTCGCTATGCGCAGAAGCGATTCCTGGATACTGACGACAGACGGCTCGGATCCCGAATTCCGTTTCGTCCAAAGCCGTCCTGAAAATATACGTGTAATGAAAAGCGACAAGCGGTGTAGAGCGATTGCTTTTGTTATTTACACGGCTCATCAGGTGATCAGCCGTTCTCGTGCGACGTGATCCTGTTGGCTTGACCTCAGCAGCTGCTTTGTTGTCTCGTTTATGATGCTAAAAATGCGTAGAAGCACAATGCTGAGGCCGTCCACACTGTCACTACTGCCCGTCGCGACAAGGGAATGATCAAGACGTCAACAAGAAATTTGGAGTACTTGCTGCAGCCAGCGGAGGAGACGTTTGATCAAGGTGGGTGATAGACCAGAGAAACCGTGTCGGACGATGATATGTAAAGCAGTATTGAGATGGGTGGTTACGCTGTCATTTTCCGCTGCTTCTTCAAGTGATGGCTCGGAGGCGTGGCGAAGCTTATTCCTTGCTGCCTTCTCAGTCTTCTTATATGGAAAGCACGATTACCCAGATCTGTAAACATGCTACAAGCTCTGGAGTAGTGTGACGTATGCCACTATGGTGCTTGCTGCTGCTTTGCTGCACGAAAAGATACTGCTCCGGCTAACGGAAGTGTGTGCCATACGCTTATGCGTATTCTCGTTAGATTGTTAGGCTGGAAGCTAAACCGATGAAGAGCTAAATTTGCGTTCGTTCTGGCCTGTTCTGCGGCTCGACTTCACGTTATATCGTTACTGAGGTACACGTGAGCACATTGGTAAACGTCGGATGGTAATCGAATACAATGCAGAGACTGCTTGGTGTGCGCTGTTTCTCAGATGGCAGTACATGGCGTGGTGTTGATTCCACACTCATCACGAGCGCAGGTAGGGAGTGATGCATAACGTCTATGCCACCCACACAGTGAGAGGGAAATGAGAGCCCACATACTTGCTACGGTGTGTTGTATCAAATCCCCGCAGCATTCAAACGGCCAGTTGTGATCATGTTCGCCAACTCCACATGTTGTGAGGTTAGCACAGATCCCGCCAATGCGTCCGAACTTTCGGCTTACGCGGTAATGTACATCACTGGTCCCGCGCTTCATGCTATTCGTCTTTTGCACTTTGTCGAAGTATTGTAGGAAGCTTGCCACGGAAACAAGGCGAAGGGATCACTGCGACGTGAGTGAGCCAACGCGCTCGATATAAAAAATCAGAAAGCAACGAATAGGATTCAACAACAAGAACTACTACAACTTCAACAACAACAACGACATCAACAACTGCCGCTACTACTACTACTACCACTACTGCATTAACAATCTACCTTAATTTGGCAGGTACCGTGCATTCATCCAGCTTACGTCATGACTGTAACGGGGCAGCCCGTTACATGGAATTGTCACTTTAAAGAAAGTGACAATAAAGAATATGAAGTTATATATTCTTTGAACAATATCACCAAAGTGGTGATATTGAAGGGTCGACCAAAGAGTCTGTTCATTGGTTGATATCTTGATGATATCAACCCACCAATCGCCGCAAGACGCGCGCAATGAGTGGTGACGAGACGTCACCATACACTCAGTTAGATTAGCATAATTAAGTTAAGTCAAACAGAGAGACAGTAGTTAAAAGACTTAATTCTATTAATATAACAGTTCTGCTTTTACCCTACCTACGCTTCCTCGCTTGCCACGTGTACGTCTGTCGGGGCACCGAAACCCTTGCGTTAAGTTCACGCAAGGGTGTGCCCCGTTACACCTGGTAGCACTTTGTAGTCCTTCCAAGGACCACAACATCCAACATGAACATGTTGGATGAAGAAGACACCTTTCACGCCACGCGTGAAGGGTTTACCCATTTGAGTGACATCGAATGGGGTGCGGTAGAACGAATGAGTTCTACCGTAGGCGAACTCGCCATTAGCGCCATGTTGGAGTCTCTAGACAGAGACCAACAACATGCCGCTATCGCCAAGTTCATTCAAAATGAACTTGCCATCGAGAGGGAGAAAGTAGCCTTGCTTCACCAGCAAGGCTCTCAATAGGCCGAGCAGTTGAGAGAACTCGGTGCTCAACAGACGGAGCTGTTGAGACAGCAGCAATTACATGCTGCTGTGGGCGGGACGGCGCATGCGCGTCGTCTCGAAGTCATGAAAGTTGACATCTCCAAGTACAGTGGAGCCCCGGAGGACTCCCTGTTACTATGGTTTGTCGAACTCGACAGAGCCCTAAGGGCTCGTCGCGTCGAAGATGAGCAAATGAAACTCACATTTGCTCAGACCCACTTGGCAGGGCTTGCCAAAACTTGGTCCCTGGG